GACCAGGATGCTATCAAAGATCAAGCGAATGATGAGAGAAGATGTAAAGATGCTAAGAAAGAGGGTCTAGGGTTGAGATTCATGGTCAGGGGTTTCAAAGGTCCGAACTTGGGTTGAAAACTTTAAATCGACTCACTTTGTGAGAATCTCTAAGCCTTGAAAACGAAATAAGATCTATCCGTGGCTTTCGGTATAGATCACTCCTTCATCCTCTCCTCCAAACCCATGGCTTTTGGTGGAAAGAGAGGTTGAAGGGCATGGAAAACAGATTTCAAACGCATGGCTTAACTAGTCCCCCAAACTTCCATGGCTTTTGGGAAGGGGTAACTAGTCTCTAGGGTGTGATCTTCAGAGGTCCCTGAATCCTGTCAAGGTAAGGAACCTCTCGGATCATAAAGCTCTTGGCGTGAGAGTCTTTAAGCATTGAGAACTCGACACCCTAGAAGAGATTGCCATTAAAACACTAGAAAACCCCAAGATCGAAATCTTTTTGACCCCTTAAATCCTCTCAACCCCGAACCCAAATGAACTACTCACTACACATAAGATAAATCAAGCGAAGCATGAAGAAAGAAACGATGAACATCAAAAGAAACTCGATTAAACTCAAACGATTCGATTACAAAAGCAAGAAAAACTTCAAGTTCTACAATGGTGAATAATCTCAAAAACCAGAGAGAAAAGCATAAAAAGATAAGACTAAAAAGTTGTGTGGGAAAAGGACGTCGCCGCCTTCCCAAAATGGCGAAAACAACCCGATGGTCCCCCCCTCACTAGCGGCCAAAAGCGGTTGAAAGGACAGAGATCGACTTCGGGATCGAGCGGCTCTCTCGATCATCTTCGGACATCGTGTCTTCAACTCGATCTGGGTCTCGATCATCTTCGGCAGATCGAGTGTTGCATCCGATCTTGGTATCGATCTTCGGTTTGATCGAGTGGTGGACTCGATCCGGCTCTCACTCTGTATGGCGTCATTTATGTCCGTACCGTTTGATCGATTGCTTCACGCGATCTTCGTCTCGATAATTCTTCTTGGATCACCTGGTCTTCTCGATCTTCTGGTCGATCTCATCCTAGATCGAACTGCCATGCTCGATCTGGTCCCCGATCTCTGGTCCTTAGCAAACATCCGACCTTCCACGAACCGCCACAACAGCTTCAGCACGTCCACGAACCTCCACGACTCCAAAGTAGCCAGAAACAACCTGAATGTGATGCAAAATGCAAGGAACATGCGTATGCTGGTGCAAGGATGCTCTAGGACCCTAAGTGATGCAATCTAGTCTAAAATGTGATGTAAATGCATGAAAAACTAACTAATGTGTATGCAAAATGTATGCAATATGCAGTTACATCAGATCTACAATTAGAGGTTCAGTGAATGTTGCCACTGCTGAAATTCGCAAGGAAGATATGACAAAGCTATGGCATATGAGGCTTGGTCATATGAGTGAAAGGGGAATGCAAATTCTGTCTAAAGAAGATCTTCTCGGTGGCCATGAGGTCAAAGGTCTAGAGTTCTGTGAACATTATGTCTTTGGAAAGCTTCACCGCAATAAGTTTGGCCATTCATAGAACAAAAGGCACGCTAGATTATATCCACTCAGATTGTTGGGGTCCCGCTCTGGTAGAGTCATTGGGAGGTCACAAGTATTTTGTATCTATGATTGATGACTACTCAAGAAAGACATAGGTGATCGTACTAAAGCATAAAAGTGATGCTTTCAAGAGCTTCAAGGAGTGAAAAACCTTAGTGGAGAATCAAACAGGAAAGAAGATCAAGAGGCTGCGAACTGATAATGGTATGGAGTTCTGTTCAGCTGAGTTCAATCAGTATTGTAAGGATGAAGGTGTTGCCCGTCATCATACAATCAGAGATACACCCCAGAAGAATGGTGTAGCTGAACGGATGAATCAGACGCTGCTGGAAAGAGCAAGGTGCATGCTCTCTAATGCTGGTTTAGAATGAAGGTTCTGGGCTGAAGCTGTAAGTAGAGCTTGTTACTTGATAAATCGTGGACCACACACAAGTATCAAGTTCAAGATGCCAACTGAGCGGTGGTCAGGAAAACTTGCAGACTACTCAAACCTTAAAATATTTGGCTGCACCATTTACTACCATGTGAGTGAAGGTAAACTAGAGCCAAGAGCAAAGAAGGGAGTAATCATAGGCTATGGAGATGGCATTAAGGGATACCGGATCTAGTCTCCATCAGTGAAGAGAGCCATTTTGAGCAGGAACATGGTCTTTGATGAAAGTTCAATGCTCAGATACACAGTAGAGCCTACAGTTACCGCAGAGATTGATAGCTCTGACAAGCAGGTGGAGCTGCATCCAAATCATGAAGAGAGTGATTTGCAGAAATGTGAAGATAGTCAAGAGCAACAAGAAGAATACAGTCCCTCAGAACCTACATCAGCAGTCAGGCAGCCATCTAATACTAAACGTCCTAGTATTGCTTTAAATCAACCTAAGAGGGTAGATGTTAAACCTCCCAAGAGATATGGTTTCGAGGATATGGTTAGTTATGCACTGCAGGTTGCAGAAAAGGTGGATACTTATGAGCCATCCACGTACATAGAAGCTGTTTCAAGCTCAATGGCTGAGAAATGGTTTGCTGCAACGGGAGATGAGATGCAGTCTCATGATAAAAGTCAAACATGGAATCTGGTCGTACTACCACCAGGGAAAAAGGTTGTTACATGCAAATGGATCTTCAAGATTAAGGACGGGATATCACCTGAAGATGGAGTCAAGTATAAAGCTCGGGTTGTTGCTAGAGGTTTCAGTCAAAGAGAAGGTGTATACTACAATGAGATCTTCTCACCAGTGGTCAGACACACTTCCATTAGGGCGCTGCTTGCAGTAGTGGCACGTCACGATCTGGAACTTGAACAACTCGATGTGAAGACAGCTTTCCTTCATGGCGAGCTAGAGGAAGAGATATACATGACCCAGCCAGAGGGTTTCCAAGTTCCAGGTAAAGAAGATTATGTATGCAAGCTGAATAAGTCGTTGTATGGGCTTAAGCAGTCTCCAAGACAGTGATATAAGAAGTTTGACAGCTATATGATCAAGTTAGGATACACACGAAGTCCTCATGATTGCTGTGTCTACTACAACAAGCTGAAAGATGAATCATACATCTATCTGGTACTGTATGTGGATGACATGTTGATAGCTGCTAAGTGTATGTGTGACGTTCAAGAGTTGAAAGATCTGCTCAGCGTAGAATTTGAGATGAAGGATTTAGGTGCAGCTAAGAAGATTCTAGGAATGGGGATTCTTCGAGATAGAGAAAAGAAGAAGCTTTTCTTGTCGCAGAAAGGTTACATTCAGAAGGTGCTAGCAAGGTTTGGTATGTCTTCAGCCAAACCTATTGACACTCCGTTTGCTGCTAATATTCATCTCACCATGTTTGCACCGCAGTCTGAAGAAGAGAAAGAGTATATGTCTCGAATTCCTTATGCCAGCGCTGTAGGAAGGTTGATGTATGCTATGGTCTGCACTAGACCGGATCTTGCACACGCAGTCAGTGTTGTTAGCAGGTTCATGGGACAGCCAGGAAGAGAGCACTGGCAAGCTATGAAGAGGATTTTTTGGTACCTCTGTGGTACGTCTGATATTGGTCTCATCTATGGAGGTGGGAGGCCTCGTCTGGTTACAGGCTATTCTGACTCAGATTATGTTGGAGATGTGGACATCAGAAGATCAATAATTGTCTACATATTTACCTTGGGCGATTCTGTTGTAAGTTGGAAAGCAACCTTACAGCCAACTGTGATGTTGTCTACTACTGAAGCAGAGTATATGGCATTGACCGAAGCAGCTAAAGAAGGTATCTGGTTGAAGGGCTTGGTTAGTGATCTTGGTCTGCATCATGATCAGGCTACTGTGTACTGTGACAGTTGTGCAATGTGTTTAGCCAAGGATCAAGTTCATCATGAACGAACCAAGCATATTGATGTAAGGTATCACTTCCTGAGAGGTGAGAAGAGGATCAGTGTGAAGAAGGTAGGGACAGCTGATAATCCTGCTGATATGTTCACGAAGCCAGTTCCTCACAGCAAGTTCCAACATTGTTTGGACTTGTTAAACATCAAAGACTATTGATCAGGCTCCGTAAGAGGCGTCTGGTCCAAAAGGACATATGAGGCAAGGGAGAAGTCAGGTACATCTAGCATTGTAACGATGCATCTGGTACATCTGTAAGGAGGATTCAAGTCAAGATAGAGATTTGCTAATATGCCTTGAATCTGATTATGCATGCAGGCTGATCAAGCATGCGTTGATGTTTACACGCTGCTTGAATAGACGTTGATGTTGGCATGCTGCTGGATGTTGCGTGTAGACTGCAGGATGATGAATCTGCAGGCTGCACGATGAAGCTTCATGCTGCATGATGAATATGCATGCTGCATGATGAAGCTGCAGGCTGCATGTAGGAAGTTGTATGATGCATGCAGGACGCTGTAGGCTGCATGGACGTAGGAAGCTGCATGCTGTATTCAGGACGTTGCAGGCTGCATGTTGGAAGTTGCAGTTTGCTTAGAGAGATGTTAAAATATGGACTTCAGCGTGCGAGTCCAACTCACATGCTATTATGGCTTCTAGGGTTTGTCAGCTATATATAACCTAATTTCTGTATGTATTCTGAACATTATGCCTCCATTAATAAATCAGTCTCCTTTGCCTGTGGACGTAGCCACATCGTTGATGAACCACGTTAAATATGTATCGTGTTATTTACGTTTACTGTTTTCTTCTCGCATCCGTTACAACAAGGGTCTAGTCATCGCCGCGCCGAGCCGAATCACCTTTGTTGAGGCCATGGAACTGCCGAGCCGAATCACCTTGTTCCCAAGCCAACGGAAAGATGAGGTTCCGTCATCGGCAGTGTTACAATGTAGACAGTTATCGGCGGAAATATGAGAAGACGGTAAGTTGTAGAAGCAGCGTTTTGTTTACATGATGAAATAGAAATAGAAAAATGAAAGGAGAAGGTTGTTTGGTAAAATGATAAAATCACAACCACTAGTGTAAGTGCTCTAAATTGTAATTGAAGTTTGGAAAAGTGCCTTGTAATGTAAATTTTTCATTATTATATGTAAAATCAAATTAAAAAAATGCTAAACCAGTCATAACACCAGCCGGATAGTCCTGATCGTTAAGACTAACTAGCCTATGACATAGCTCACACTTAGACAGCAATATTATCAAAAATAATCATAAATTAAAAGAAACCGAGAAAGGATTCATCTTCTCCTCGGTGCGGCTGAGCCTGAAACGCGCTGAATCGCTGCTGGTGGTTGCCCTTGAGACCCTGCGGGTTGTTCTTCCGCCATGTTACTCGCTTGTGTCACAGCATTCATCACTACGAGTCCAAGTGGTATCAAGTACATCCACTGTCATACCAAAGTTTCATTATTCCACCGTTTTCAATTTTAGGTATAAGCAAAAAGTTGAATCATAATGTGTTTCAAAACTCTATATTACTCACATATTTTGCCCAAAATGATCTCTCTACTGGCACTTCTGCTTCACCTTCCACATTCTCACTGCTGCCAAGAATCTCCTCCGTGAATATCGGAGTTCTGTGCCACGAGTCAAGGTAGCATTAAACACAAATCACCACTTAGGCTTATGTATGTTAATATAATCCAAGTGTAAATTTCTACAAATTGAAAACTTGTAGATGTAAAAACAAAAGCACAATCATTACCTTGGTGCCTGCTCGCTACTCTTCAAGATAGTGTGGGAATTGAATGACCATTTTCCTGGCTACATTAAACGCAAAACATTCATTCTAAGCTTCAAGGTTCAGTACATGTAAACATAAGTGACATATATGACAAAACAATTGCAGATACATTGCTTTTTGCACAAAGAACACAGTTTCGGTTCTTATAATTACCATCACATAGTCTATATTAATACTTTACTTATGAACCCAAGAGAACCTAATTTAAGTCCAAATCCTGTTAAATTTGGTCAGCTTTCTGCAACGAAATAAGACATCTCTGTAATCAAACATTTAGTATTTTAAAATAGTACCAATACAGTTCTTAGAATACTATCCAAGCATACCAAAATTCCCCAAAACATAATCTCTCATTAATCTTTTACTCATGACCCTAAGAGAAACTAAGGTAAGTTTAAATCCTAGGTCAGGAGGTTTCCGCAACGAAATAACGATTGGGTAGAAGCTTTCACTCACAAGTTTCAACTGTCGAGGATACGGGCATGCTCCGGGAGAGCCATAACTTACTGCCAAAATGTTGGCACCATCCTGAAATTGGATAGGACAATGTAATAAGTAAATATTGAGGAGCTAACACAGCTTGTCAAACAAAGCTGGAACCTAAACTTTTGATATTGGAAAGCTGAACACCTAATACCAAAAGAATAAATTACCATGTGTATAACGATATGCTCATCCAAACCATCCCGTGGAAGACATCTCTGTAATCGAACATAATGTTTTACAACCAGTCAACCAGATACATGAAGCAGAGGGAAAGAGAGAAAAGAAAACAACAAACGATTGCGAAAAGCAAGCAATTACATAATTGCAATGAAAACGTTTCCAGGTTTTTATCAATCTTGGACTCATGATTCAATACACAATTATCTTACTAACTTTGAACAGAACCACATAAGGAAGCTTTTCCCTTATCTCAAAGAAGTAGAGAGGAAGGGATAAACGTTTCATAAAAGCTACAACAAGACTAATCTAGAAGGAGTTCAATAGCTGAATTCAGTCGAACAAAATTGTTAATATATGAGCAGGCAACATTGATACATAGAATAATGTCTATAGTAAGGCGTAAAATTTGAACGAACACACTCAATATTCAAACATCTTCCTAGTGAATGACATCTAAAAGAAAGAGTTTCTCTCAAAGCTCTTTATCAGAAAGCTGATGATTTCAACAGCAAATAAAAGAAGAAGTGGACTTACAGCTCTCACTGATGCAATCACATACTCTCTCCCAGGTGGAGTGACTACATTAGATGGAAGTCTTATTCTATAAAAGTCATCTCCTTTCAGCAGATTCTACAAATGGGTTTCACAACAAAGTCATTACACTTCTGTGATAGAGAAACAAAACTCATAAAATCCAATTGGATATTACTTACATTAAATGCATCTTTCTCTTCATCAGAGAATTCATTCCTCAAGAAACGTAGTTTCGTTAATGTCTGCATCCAACAAGATTTAAGGTTAACTCAATAGTGACTTAAGCTGTGCAAACAATACACATTAGTTAGCTAATCAGATTGGATTAAGCAGTAACACCGTCATCAACAATAGAGTTTTCTGCTAATTCACTTCGCCAAAATCTAAATGCTCATAACTCGCACTAAAAGCTTATATCTAATACTAAAGCGAATATCAGAACCTCTCAGGAAAACATGATCGAGAAAGTGAAGCAAACCTGACCGCCATGGCTCCAAGTTTTGAGACGTGCGGAGAAAATTCCGGCCGAGGTGAAATCAGAATCTCCGAAGGCATGTTCGAGAGTGAATTGGATCTTGGAATCCAAATCGGGATCGGAGTACCGTTTACGGATACTCGGTTTCTGCTTCGGAGGTGAAAAAGACGCCGGCGAATCGGTGAAAACGGGTTCCGTCGAGCGATGATTGGCTCCTTCAAGACCAAACTCCACGTCGTCGAGGAGAAGCTCATCTGATTGGAAAGCTAAGGAGGATGACAAAAGTAAAGAGGTAAGGAAGAGGAGAAGTGTGAGCTTCGGCATGGTTAGCATTGTCTTTGTCCAGGCGCCGGAGATTCTCTCTTCCGTGGATCAAGCAGAAAACAAGAGGGAGAGGTTTGGATCGAACCAAAAATATTTGTTTTGGTCGAGACTTTTACTTTTCCTCGAACACACAAGGAAATAATGAAAAGGTTCACACGAAAAGGGGATCTTAACTAAAATTATCTGAACCAGCCGGTTTAAGAAATCACACTTTTTTGGGTACTGTTTGGGTTTACTTTCTTCCATTCGTTTCCATTCGGGTACCCAAATTACTTGAAATCTATTTGAAATATTTATTATATTAAAAGAAAATTTTAATTGAGAAACTGTTTGGGTTTACTTTCTTCCATTCGTTTCCATTCGGGGTACCCAAATTACTTGAAATCTATTTGAAATATTTATTATATTAAAAAAAAAATTAATTGAAAAAATAACCTTTATCTAGTGAATTATTTATTTAATACTAGACGAGTACCCGCGCATTGTGCAAATTTTTGCTTTAAAATATAGTTTATTAAAAAGTTTAGTTATAATTTATTTTATTATATACTTAATTTTTTCGTGAACAATGGTAGTAGTTATTACTTTAATTTCTAATCGTTGATGTTGCAACAATTTTTACTATATTTTCCAAATGTATAATAACTAAAGAAATATATGATGTTAGAATGTATAATAAAAAGGGGTACTTATCTAATATTACATATCTTCTACCTATTAATTGAGAATGTAGTTTAATGAAAAATGCTGATTTGTTTTAATTTGATTGGTTAAAATCTTTTCTCTATCCTAATTAAATGTGACATGGAAATGATGATGTGTAATGATGATGTAATTGTGACATGACATTTACTAACACATGTGGTTTATGACATGAGAAAAAGTTTTTTTGTGATATTTTCATTAATAAAATATTTAATTAGATGACAAAATTTAGTGTACTAATAATTAAATTTTGAATGATTCGCCGGATGCATTACGAATGGCCTGATATTATTATTCATCTATATGAATAATAGTATAAGAATTTTGGGCTGAACGTGATGATTTTAATACATATATATTATTATACTATGAATAATACTATATTATATATCAATTAATTTCTATAACTCTGTTGTGGACCACTGTGACTTTCCATATAAATATATATATAATATTATATTCATACAGAATACATGCACATATATTTTCGTATACTTCAGTAGGCAAAATTATAATAACAAAATCACATTGATCAAATCGTTTATCTAATAATTCATATTTTTTGTAAAGGCGGTGCTTCATTTACGAGCACATATGTTTTCACATACTTTAGTTGGCAAAATTATAATAACAAAATAAGATATTATTGTGATCTTCTGTAGAGCATTCAAAATTTAAAAAATATTAGTTTAGTTTAAAAATAATAACAAATATAAATTTAAGATTTCGATTTAATAATCCTCTACATTATTTTTCATAACAAACGTTGAATATCCTAAAAAATCAATGGGCATCTAATGAAAAACCAAAATCATCATCCTCTATATTATTTGAAAAATTTAGTGTCTATTTAATAAAAACTAAAACGATCTATATAAAATTACGTTCATCCCAAATACCTAATGAAAAAGTTAAATACTCGGATCCTTATATTAAAAAAACATCACAACACACATGGGTATCAAACAATTCAAACCCTAACTCAAAATGCGAGCATGACAATTCTACCAATCCATTTATCTAAATCGAATATAGCTAAAATGAAACTTAAAAGTTGTATAGACTCCAATCGTGAGTGTAATGAAGCAAAGTTTTATCGCTATACTGAATTTCCAAACAAATAGGTTTGGCATAAAAAAAATAAGAAGTGGCTCTCTTGCAATAGAAAAAAACAATGTTCCCTACGATATCAGCCTTCCAGAAGTCTCCGAAGAATATGGTGAGCTTTTCTACCTTAAAATTTTGCTAAATGTTCAGAGAAGACCACTATGTTTCGAAGATATCAGGACAGTAAATAGAGTTTTATATCTAACATTCACTGAAATATGTCTTACAATAGAGTTAATTGAAGCACTTGATGCTTAAGTGGAGATGGTCTTGCAATTATTTGTAGAGTCTACTTGATAAAATTATTAGTAGAAAAATCACACATATGAGTAGATCGAGACCAACAATGATTGAATCCTTGAAGAAATAATGCTTTAAATTGAGGAAGATTATAGAAAAACAAAGAAAATGAAAAATTTTTGTTCAAAAAAAAAAACAGAGAAAATAAAATTTGCAGTCTGATCCGCAAATCCGAAGAAGGTAACCAGCTATCCACGAGTTTGACCCATTTGACCCTCTAACATAATGGGTCAAGTTTTACAAAGCATGATCATGGAAAAATAATTTTTGTGTTTTCCAAACTTAATTATTATTTTTCAAGTCTGTCTCAAAATATAAATGAAATTTTTGTTATAACAAAATGTTTAGTTAAAATTAGATCATACTTTACTACTTAATTTAAAGTCCTATAATTCAAAACATTGATCTTGAGTTTCATATACTACAAAAAAATAAAAATAAAATAAAATGGATTTAGATATTGTATTTAAATAATTATATTTTTAAAATTGTTCATGCCCGCATATGCGTGCGGGCCAATATCCTAGTTTTGTTATTGAATGAGAAACTTATAATTCTAATAATAAATTATTATGTCTGAATTTGTCTGAATTTTTGATATCCCTTGTATTTACACCATTTAAGACTGCATTTAGTACATATTTTGGTCCTCTTTTGCATGTTTTTCCTTAGCTTTTGTCCCATTTTCTTCTCTTCTTAGGCTTAGGTTGCATTTAGAGTATAGTTTGCATTTTCTTTGCATTTTGGATGTTTTTAGGTGCTCTTGGAGCTAGAAGGAGCTTTGAGGATGATCCAGGATGCTAGCTGGGCAAAAGGGAGCAAGAAGGATCAGAGCAGAAGATCTCTGCAGAAGTTTTCGGTCAGAGCACGGTGAACATCGGTCAAGGATGACCGATACAGATCAGTATCGATCACTAGTATCGGTCAGGGGTGACTGACACAAACACAACGGATGGATTTCGGTCATATGTGTTGATCACTCCAGACCGATGGGGATCCATTTCGGTCACTGAAGACCGATGTAACTGACCGATACTAACCCAACCCGAACCTGTTTAATTTACGCTTTTGCCATTACTCTAGGGCTTTCTTCTCTAGGCTATATATAGCCTCTTTTCCAGATGTTCGGGATGTCATGTCAACTTACTGTTCTTAAGCATTTTCTTTAAGTTTGTAAGACAAATCTTTTGCTTTATTTAATATATTTGAGTATTTGCCTTTAATCTTTCTTTATTCTCTCTTCTAATCATGATTAACATCATTTTCCTTTGTGATTTGGTGTTAAACATGAGTATGAGTGAGTAGTTATCTTAAAGTTTCTAGATGTGGTAGATTAGGGGAATCTAAGACTTGATTAGGGCTTGTTAAGTGCTTTAGTTTATGAGTTCTTTTCTATTAATCTGTTATTCATGCTAGATTAGTTTTGATCAAACTTATCTAAGTTGTTAGCTTTCTCTTATGCCCACCAAGTGTTTGATGAAATGATGATCATGTTTAATAGAGGATTTGCTGGCCTTGCCTCAAGAGATTGATTGTTTGAGGAGCATTTTGACTTGAATAGAGTTGTTTACTATTGCTTGCTTGATGTTTTAGCACTAATGAAGTTAGTTCTTGTTAAGATGTTTAGCAAAGGGTTATTTGCCAAGAGATTGGATCTAATTAGTTTAATTGTGAACTCTATGTCTAGGAATCACAATTGCTTGCTTACTTGCTTGACCAATGTAGTTTGAAACAGCCTTAGTTAGTGTCTGAAATTCCCCAAAGTCAATAACCACATCTAGGAACTTGCCTTTCTCTTATTTAAATATCTGTTTTGCTCTGTTTTTCTTGTTTAAAACTGCTTATTTTGCTTTTGTTTTCACTTTCTTTGTTGATTGATCATACTAGGTTGTTAGAACAGTTGCCTAGGCAACAAAAGCCTTTTCCTGCTTGCTTGACTTAGAGATTCCACTCTCAACTCTTCTGTTTTCAACTATTCCCAATTGGATTGACATTAAAACTCATACTACAACTGACTAGTACAATGAGTGATTGACAAGAACATCAAAACTCTTGTATCAATTTTCCCTTAATGTATTTGAAGAAACATACAGTACATATATGTATGTGAAATATTTATTGATCAAAAAATGTAAATTATGCTATGCCTTGTATATATTGTATAAATCAAATGAATATACTGCAAATTAGAGAAATATATAATAAAAAATAATTAAATAGACTCTTCAAGCACATTGGCACAATATAGGTAAATATGACCTCTTTTTAGCAGATCGTGCTGATCCATGGTGCACAGTGCAGACTATTTGAACTTTTTGAGTCGTTATTTTTTCGGTTACATATTCACATCGCAACTCACGATCTATCTCATATTTATCTTAGTCACTGGTGTGAGGTTTCCATTATATTGGAAATAAATCGAAATATACATTCATGAGATATATAAAGATCAAAACCAAAGCATATATGATTTTAATTAACACAGTAATTAAAAGATAAATAATTAATTAATCTAATTTTACACATTATAATAATATATTACTAATTACAATTTTTAAAAAGATAGGTGTCACTCTCTCCATTGCTGACATGACATTCATCAAATATATAGAGACCAAAACCAAAACAGATATGATTTTAAGTAATACACAATTAAAAAATAAATAATTAATTAATCTAATTCTGATAACATTATAATAATATATTATTAATTACAAATTTTAAAAAGACAGGTGTCAGTCTCTTCAATGCTGACATGGCAACTGGTGAGAGTTAGCCATCTTTTATATTATAGATACCATTGGATTTTTATTAGATATATAAAAATTTATTAAATATATTCTTTTCATTAAATTATTAAAGATCTAATTTTTTACTACTCTTTTTATTAGGAGTCCAATATTTTGTTTTTCTTCTTATTAAAAAGCCTATTTTTGTTTAAAAACTTATCTTATTTTTTTGTTTTTAATTCAAAATTTATCAAAACAATATATCGAAAATGCCAAAAAGTTAAAAAATAATATTTTTAAGGTCTAAAATTTATTTTGCCCATGGGACCTAAAATATTTTAGGCCGGTACTGTATGCCAATATTCATTGTGTTTC